AAATCGAAATTATGCCGCGCGTACAGTCCGCAACGCGGCATGCCGAGCAATTACGCGAGCGCCCGCGTGCCCCCTTTCGCGAGCGAGAAGCGAGGGAACGAGCCCCTCCGCCGCGGCTAGCGCGAGCCGCCGTTGATTAATGAGAGCACGCTGCGTTTCATACGTTACGCGCCTGCGAGGCGATATCAATACCTGGGGATAATGAAATCGCTCTCGGGAGGGGATTGATTCGAGATGATTTGTTATCAGTGCGATCTCAATGGTCGATACGACCGATGCGCGATGGTCGCCGGTTGCGCTTAGAACCGTGGTTGGGGGCCGGCCGGGCGGGACGGTCGTCGATGGTATATTGGGATTACATCGATAACGCATCGATAAATATAGCCGTCGTTAATTTGCCATCGCAAATACGAGGAGAAAAAAATGCAATAAATAGGAACGTCGTCTCGTTTCTCTAAACGAGTTCCATAAATTTATTTTTACATTTAAAGCAGCGGCCCGCGAATGAGAACGCGTAAAGAGATGTTTAAGAACGTCGTGATATGACGCTTTAGGTAATTAAAGCAATTTGCAACGAGTTTTCAAAGTCTTAGGATGCGTGTCGTAAATTTGCAATTTGCTACGGTTAATTACAACCGCGTGTGCAGTAATCGCGAGCATCTGTTCGCGAGTGCGAGCGCGCGCGTTTCTTGAATCGGGGCGTAATGCCGATTAATGGGGGAACAGGTTCCATAAATTTCACGACGAGTTATAAGACGCTAGACGCTCGCCAACCATTCGCGAAATGATTCGCGAGGACACTTGCGATCTCGACATCGCGCGAGATCGTCGGCGGCTACGCGCCTGTTTGAACGGGTACGTGTACGCATGTTTGCACGAGGCAATCACGCAGATTGCACAAAAATTTTAATGCGAGACGCATTGAAAGTACACAGATACAATCTTAATACTTGCACGCGATCGATTTGCTCGTAAATCAAAAAATACGTAACGCGACGCAGAGAACGTTCCTCTGGCCTGCGTCTCGCGATCGCGGGAACGTTGTAGGACACGAAATTGTGTCTAATTATAAGTGCGCTTTTTCTTACATAAAATAAGTCCGCCGATTTTTTTTCATTCGGAACCAGTATTGATTAATGAGCGAGCGATGGTCGTATGGTTACATTGCGAATGGGCAATTGACTTTAAATCGGTTCGTATAGATTAATTGTAAGCGTTAGACGAGTAGAATATTTCTGTTGTATCAAAGATAAGATTATAGTATTTACTCGGGCAAAAACATTTTCATTATAAGGACCAGTCTTATAATATCTGTCAATCGTTTATATAAAACGATTGACAGATGCAAAGGATGTAATGACAACACACACAATGCTACAAAAATATTATATCAATATCTTTTCACTCGCGGTTTGCGAGCCAATTATTCTTTATTATTGTAAACTCTTAAAATGCTGAGTGTAAAACGATTTTCCGGATAAGTCGACGAATGTGAATTCGAAAGATGCGAACGAACGTGACACCTACGCGTCTTCTGCTGCAGCGCCCTTATGGAAGAAATCAATTTATGTGTTGTCCCGTACGCGTAGATCTCGTTGTTAAATTAGAAATGGCGGTGATTAACGAGGGCCTCACGAACGCGGGGACCACACGGTCGATTAAGAGGATCGCACTTTGGTTTCGCGCTGAAATTGATTCGGGCGTCCGCAGAGACGCGAATACGCGGCTGATGGAATACGCGCGCGGGGACTCGTCCTGTAATTGCACGGGCGCGCAATCTGTGGAATCTCGCCGCGGCGCATAGAAAAGGAATGAGCAAGTTCTAAAAGTGATACGAGACCGGCCCATAAATCAATACACCGCCGTGGAGATGCGCGGACTTTTTTTGGAATAAACGAGCGCGAATGCGAGCGCGATGATTAATGGCGTAGCGACCACTCGTTCATAAATTTCAGGATGAGGGGTAAACGAATGAATTGTCGGTGGATACGAACGATTTGATTCCGATTGAGCGAGAAGCGACGAAAAAGAAAGAGGGAAATAGAGACTGGCTTATGCGTGACAATGAACTTGACTCCACTTTTACGACGGTCGACGTAAAGATTTTTATCGCTTTATTTATTTGTGTAACATCTCGACGAGTTTTACTTAACGTCACATTTAAGATGTTGTTTAAGGAATTCGTAAACGTTCCGACAATATCATTCAAGTGTTTCTTATGTTATTTATCATTATTTAAAATATATAAAATCTAAACTACATGTCTTTTTTGTTTATGATTGTCCTGGATTTTCGGATCTAATTTAACTTGCAAAGGCAAGTCACAGCAGAAGTGAGTCAGGGAAAAATTAAAATATTCCTTACATATATTTCTCCGTAATTATGCGAATGCTATGTCACCCCGTGTCCTGAGAAAAGATAAAGGTTATCGTGCGCGGTTCTGGATCATACTTTTATTCGCACCAAGTCATTTACAACGCGCTATTTATATAACTTCATTACCCTCCATGAAAATTCTGCGCGCTATCGAGAACTTACGGAAATTATAACGCTCATTTACAGTAACTAAATGATAATGAGAAGATGTATTCCTTTGCCGAGAAAACTTGTGTCAATGAGTGCGCGTGTCAACGGGTATCAGATCTACATTTAACTTATTTTATTTTCAAGATTGTATCACATAAATGGATGAGAATTTCTCACTCGGAATTTTGCGCGAGAATCGGGATCGTTCTTTAATGCGAATTTAATATTTATTTTATAGCACACGAATTATTATCTATTCAAAATTCGAATATTTATTTTATAATATGAATATTGATCTTTCTTTTGGATCGTATAATATAGAGAAGAGATGTAAAATTTTCAAGGGGATCTTTAAGCATGATCGGATTTATGTCGCTGTTACTTATATGGGGATAGTAAATTAACATCGGTCTCTGTATTATGCAACTTTCTGAACAGTTTAACGGCTTTCCTGCATACCGCAGGATTATCTCTGTCACGTATCTCGATACGATATGACTGAAATATCGCCAGTTTTTATGACCAGTGCGATGCATAGCAATTTTTCAACTCACAATTTCGTAAAATCGTCTTGGTATGTCGTTCACCTCGACACGATTCCGCAGCTTGTCAGTCGAAGCTCGTTTGTTAGTCGTTAAGAATTAATTAACGCAATATCGTCACTGTGTCTACTGGTACACCGGTTAGACACATTATCTATCTAGCCCAGAAAGATACGCTAATAGCACTAATAGGATTGCGCTATTTCTTCTGTGTCCGTGAAATCATTCAGAAAATCATTTTTCTAGGCTTCTCTCTTTATGTAACGTCGATAATATATCCATTTTCTATGATATATATACTTAATTTTCATGTATTTTTTATTTTAAAAAATTATTTTTTATGTGTTTTACCCCCAAAAAAATGTTTTACTGATGTATCTTGGTATATTTCTAAATGTCACAAAAATGTATCGCTATTTTTTGTATCTGCTACAATATTGTTTGTCATATATAAAATTTATAACAGCAATGACTTCTAGAAAATATATTGATTTGTTTCTTGTCGCTAGTTTTCTGTATACCACAGTGAAACTTTACAAACTAATATGATTAGCTTTAACATGAATGGGTGCCACTGAAAAATTTTTTCTGTCATTTAGATTGGTTAAGTACCAAATATATGCGATATCACAATATGTGCTAATTATTTATCTATAATACTTTAGTTAATTTTTCGCAATGAAAAATTTTTGGCTGCACTTGCAAGATTGCAAGACTTTTTTTTAGTATATGTAACTTTTTTATTTTTTAAATTATATTTGTTATTTCCAGTTGCATCGCTATTTTTTACATTTTGATAAATTAATTCGAACTGTTGTTAGTTAATTAATATAATTCTAGCACTCAAATCATAAAGTTATAATATACTTCAAGCAGATGCGGCTTCTGATATTCTTTCACGGAATTCCAGAATATCTAAAAAAAAGAAATAGAGCGCTCAACTACGCATACATTCTTTATGAAACAGGGCGTACATTGCGCACATGAGGATCCACTTTCCAAGCGACACTTGGAAAGTCGTTTCTTTGGCGCGTTTCATCGCTCTTTTTTAAGATGCTCTCGGCTCACACGGTACAAAGGACTCCCGGTCTCGGAGCAGCCCTCGCGCTGTGAAATCGCACGTGGCTCGTAGGAAAAAAGAACGTAGTTCCAGTGATGAGACGGCTAATTAAGTCTAGTGGCCCGCGAACGAGCTCGCGCGCACGCGGACATCACACGCACGTACGCACACGTGTACGTGCGTACTCACACGGCGATCTTGAACCCGTGTCCACACATTAATACGCACCTACACGAGGCACGCCTCGTCTATACTTGGCCTCTTGGCCGTTCCGAGGCGTACAGTCTCTCAAAGGTCTTCGAGTGCATCGTATCACGCCGCTCTGCTACTCTCTCTCTCTCTCTTTCTCTTCTCTCTTTCTTTCTCTCTTTCTCTCTCTCCCGCCTCTCTGTTTCATCTTTTCCTCGAACATCTCGCTCGCTGCCGCACATCTCGCGCTCCGTATATTTATCTTCGTCTCCGCGCACTGCGATACGATACGGACCGCGGATCGCGGAGCAGAAACAGTGCACTCTTTCATCGGACCGACCGCGATGCAACGCGGTGACGCCGGGCATCGCATCACGAGAGGCAGCACGGAAGTGGCAGTCCGCTCTCGATAGAGCGCCGTGGTACGAACAAGCCAAGTGCCCCACCGCGTCTGGGGATGCTCTCGGGATAATAACGACCCGCTCGAGGGAGAGAGACTTGCCTCGAGAGAGCGATCTCGAGAGTCGTCGATCTCGTTGAACGTAACGCGCGATGCGTGTACCCGTCCAGGCGCGCAAGTGATCGGTAAGAGAGATGTGGTTCAAGTATTACAAGGGATATTACGACGTGCGCAAGCTGGAGCTGGAACTGGTGAGTGTTTCGTGCCACCGCGAGTGCATCGGCACCGAGAAAAGCGATTTCGAATCGATTAACTATTAATATGAGCTCTTTCCTCGCGGGTATACAAAAACTGGCGATTTTTATTTGTCATTTCTTATCGGAAATAATATTTTTAATATTACTTTTTTTTGCACGTAGTTTATTTTAAAAGATTTTGCTCGAACACTCTGTTTAGAACTCTGTTATCTAGATGTCATTTTAATTTCTAGACGAGACTTAACAGTTTTCTAAAAATTTATCACAGGTTTTGTAAATAATTTTGAAGTAATGTATCGCCTGCAATAAGGGCCAATAAATTGAATGGAAATTTCTGCACTCCGGGATAAGCCATTTTTGTAAATTCAGTGTGTCATAATTTGTAAGATCGTATAGATTTCTGTGATTAATCGGAGAACTGGCGAGAGAAGACGCAGAGTTAGGCAGCATATTGCATATAAATGTATTTACGAGAATGCAGTTAAATTCCATATTGAGACAATACGATTGGACTTTCATCTTGGATTTCTCCGCGATCGTCTTGTCTCGTCTTGTTTATCGAATTTTTTGAAATTCCTGGTTCATCGCTACTCCGTTCTTACGTTCAGACTATCTGTCTCTTACGACTCTTCGGTTCTTGAGAGGTCGGGAGAAGTCGCTAGCTTCGTGCGAGAGTTTACTGAATGACGTGCATTATGTCGCGTTCTCCGTGATCGCAGTGAGCGACGTAACGCAAATGGAGCGTTATTCTGATCTGCACTTTAGCCACAATTTACAACTACAGCTATCATAAAAATGTTTGAATACTGCCACGGACAAAACAATTTACTGACACGTGGCTCTGTATGAAAACAATTAATTTATAATCAACGGGTTCCAAAACCTGATTCTTATCTTATATATAATAATTTATTTGAGAATCCATATTTTATTTACAAATTAAAATAATTTTCTCTCTATTACTGGAAACATAAAATACTTTTTTTTATTTTATATATATATATATGATGCACCCAAAGAGAATAACAACTATTTTTAAGCTGTGAAAATACTTGATTCTATTTCCCACGATTTTTTTTTAAACGTAAAAGAAACGCAGGTGTGTATATCCCTCCATTTACAATTTTTATTAATCGGGCCTGAATCGCGGCTTAGCTCCCAACGTAGGTAACCGAGCCCCTAGTTTAAGCTTATTTCAGCCCCAGTGGCGGCACGAATTTGATCACCTGCACAGTTAAGTTCCATCCACCGTAAAGTCTTGTTCGTCTCACGCCGGGATAACGACGCGACGGCGTTACCCTCGGTCTTGGACCTCTTCCAGTCCGAGGTCCCGTCGTGTTCTTCCTCATCGTGTTCTTCCTCCTCGCGCCAGTATACACCGATGTCGCTCTGCGTTCGTTTCCTTCTGCTTCTTCATCGTCGGCGCCGCCGCCGTCCCCGACGTCCCACTTGTCCCGTTCTATTTCGGCGTGATTTTCTGCCCGGCGTTCTCGCGGCGGCGCATTCAAGATATCCTACATTAGACTTGCGGAAGAAAAAGAACTTCATCCGGTCTGCTACTTTGGAATATGCGGCATAGGAGTAAGTAAAAAAGGCGAGCGGAAAGTCTTGCAGTCGGAAACACTGTAAATCGAACCTTTTGGATGCAATGTGTACGTAATTAGTCCCACAGTAATTGCCTTCATAGACGGATATAAACTCTTTAAATGAAATTTTTTAATGTGAAAAGATAGTCGTGGAAAATTATTTAAAATTTAATATAACGTTTATTTGAATTATCAATCGGTCTGTTAGTTGTCTTCGCAATGGATTACGAATATTTGCTTCATAGATAAACCTGTACTCCGCATGCACGCTGACCTGCATGCACCTACTCGTCGCGCACGAGAAGATACGGAGAGATTCTTTCGTGCAGGAATTGGGACGATTGGTTGCCGCAAGAATAGTGAAAGATCGGAAAATTATGTCTGTGTGGAACTATGTATAAGCACATGTATAATCTAAGTGATTTTAAATTCAAAATTTCTCCACGAAATCGTTTTTAGCTTTGGAAAATTATCGATGAGATATATGTTCCTGTACCGTTACCATAAAAGAGAGATGATATATCATTTTCAAGCTCTGGTTGAAATGCAAATATGAAATACTCGTTTCGTTGAGCATGTAGGTATTTAAGCTTTTTTTTAACGTTGTCTAATCTTGAGCTCTCTGATTGAACTTTTGACAAATCGTGTCTATTTGCGCGAATGTTATCAATTAAAAAAAAAATATTTTTCTCTTTAACGATGAAGCTTTTTTTTTATTTTCTAGTATGGCTATTATAATCGTAAAAGTCGACCATTCTTATAACAATAAAGTACATATAGTACTTAAATATATCAATAGTATAAAAATGAAAAAGATTAATGATTTATATCAAACTGTCTTGAAATTTATTGCCTAATAATATTTTACAATTTTTCTTAAAATACCTTTTGCATTGTTTTCCGCAATGCCTTTTTTCATACGGCGTTGTTGAGAAAAGACTGCGAAGAATCCTCCACTAGAAGAGTTTACTTGACGTATTTCAGTCAAGTGTAGCTCAGCGTGAAAATTTTCCTCGGAACGTGCAGTAAATTTAGCCGGTAGTCTTCGTATGGCGTTTACGACGCGGAAGTTGATCAAGCGCTTCAAAGAAACGACGGCGGCGCGAGCGAAAAGCGAAACTCGCGAGTGCTCGAGCATTTGTATGCTATCGTGACAAATGATTCGTATCGGTTACGTCCTCGACGTGTAACTTGTTCTACATGGTGTTCCAAATAATCTGCATTAAATGCGCTCGGCAACGGTTCAAAAAATTATATTAATGTAATTCAATGCTAATGACAAGGTGTTATAAGTCTCGTCAATCACATTTTTCACATTTTTTATTGATTTTTATTTTATTTTGTCATATTTTCTATTGCAATAATAAAGATATATATAAAGAATCTTCCCAAACGAATTTTTTTTTTAATTTCAACATATACTACTCGTAGCAATGTTGCGCATGAATGTTGACATTTTTCGAGAAAAACTTTGTTTAGAAAAATTCGTATTTTTATTTTTATTATTGCTATGTATAATGATTTATTTCTTTATAAGTATTAAATGTGTTTTCAACATTTTGCAACTCCACTCTTTACTTAAAGAATGAAATTAAACGGTTGAACAAAAGGCTGCCAAAAGCGTCGAACAATCATCTCCTGTTAATAGCATTCTTCGTCTTTCCAATTTTGTCTGAAGTCCCGGATCTAAGTGCATCTTATCTTGAGACGTTTATTTATATCGGGCGCGTTTAAGGAGCGTGCGCCACGTTTATAGAATCGCCCTGTACGTATTCTCGTATGTCGGAGCGTAAATATAAAGTGGGCGATTTGGCGCCTGGTCAAGAGACTGTCTACGAATGTCCGACGATATTCTACGGATTCTGCGAAGGGACGAGAAGGGGGATCCCACGCAGATCACGGGGAAGCAGAGGGAGAGCCCGGAGACCGCGTGTTACACACAACCTGTGTTTGAAGTTATTTCGAAAACTGGCCCAGGTGCATTGACCTGTAATGTAATTCTCCTCCGCGTTTGGTCTATCTGAGGCCTCTCGAGCGTCATCCGGAAATCAACGAACTCTTTTGGATTAGAAAATAAAGAAAAAGTTTTCTGTAATGGAAAATAAAGAAAATTTTCTGTAATAGCTTTAGTAAAGTGACTTTTATGACTCATACTATTGTTATCTCATTACGTACTGTGTGACGTACACGGGGCACGAAGCATAAAAAAATACCGGCAACTGAAACATGTATAAATCTTAAATAAAACTTAAATAAAGTTAGTTAATTTAAGTAAAATTTAAAATTTATATTAAATTTATTTAAATTTTATATTAAATCTATCTACAATTGAGTTAATCATGCTATTAATCGGTTACTGTTTTAAGTCAGATTCAGACCAAGCAAACGAACGTGAACAGACACGAATGAATAACTTCGCTATATTTACTGTTTGTGCTCATTAAAGCAAACTGCTCATTCGTATTGGTTTGCTTAATTCAGATCTGACTTTATGTAGGACGTGAAAATTTTAGAAGTGTCGGAATTTTATTTTTTAAACCTTTTATAGTTTATTCACGCTTAAAGAACTACGTAAATATGAATTGAGAGCATCGTGTTGCAAGTTGATCAAGTCCGTATCATTTGTTTAATTCGTATGGCGTTATACCTGCCAGAATTCATTAAACGTGCTTTGTATACTAGACGTACGCGTCGAGGCATTTACAGAAAAATTCAACAATGGGTTGAACATTCATGGAAAATGTGGGTTAAAAGTGCGTTCTCAATGACGTGGAAATCATGATGCGAGATCAGAAGCGCTTCTTTCGTAATAGGAAGATAAGGCGTCAGCGTAAGATACACATCAGCCGGCATTCTTGAACGATGACTAAGGGCCGTCCCGCGTAGCCAGACGTCGGCAAGGTCGTTGTCACGACCCTTCGTAAGCTTTACACAGGACCCCTCTTAAGGACGTGAAAAGCACGCTCGTTAAAGGCGCCAGTTGCTTTCAGCAGCGATTGTATTGCGTACGAGCGTTTATGAACGCGAATATATAACCGGGCGTCGTCGTGCACCATAAATGCGCTTTAACGCGATAATCCGCGACGTAGGCTCGCTCGAGTATTATTCGTCAATGAGCACGCGAGAGAAAAATGCCACGTTAAGTACCCATGGATGCACCGGCGGAATTGTTACAGGAACAAATAATACGATAATTGGCGATTCCAGCTCGAACGAAAAAATAAAGCTCGTGTTAGCCAGACACACATGACGCGAGAGCTATGTTTAATAAATTTATATATATTTATTAGATAATCAATAAATTCGAGGAAATAATGCAGCGCATTAATGAATGATAAAATAAAAGAAATACTTGAAGAATTCTTTGAGGCAGTGATTTAGATCGATTCAAGTAAAGTATTGATTGCTTCAAGACATTAGCATTACGCATTACGTTTTCACGTAATTATTACGTTATTACATTGTAATACTGTCGTAAGACTTACGTAAGAGAGGAGGAATTTTTTATGGAGTAATTCTACGAAGAAACTATCGTAATCGCGATGGAATATTCTCGCGCGCGCACGAAATGTGAAAGATCTTGGTGCAGCGCGCTTTCCTGAATATTCTGGAAATTGTTTCCGCGTGCGGTAACGGAGAATGATAAACGATTTCGCGCCCAACGTAATGTATTTCCCGAGAGAGGCGACACGCTATCGCGCCGTCCGCGTCGCGTTGTAATTTTGCCACTGAAATTCGATACGCACGCGATTAAGCGCGCATCGTACGCGTATCGCGCGACTTGTCCGGTAGTGACGGCGACAGCGATTCTATTTGCCCACGCTAATTTCCGCGTAAAGCTGCAATCGAAGAAGACACGTTTCGTTTATCAAGAACCGCACCTGTTCGTGACGAATGAGGAATCATTCCCGGAGACGCGAATAGGACAAGAGGTGAAGGGGTGGAGGCGGGGGAGGGAGACGGAGAAGATCGCGAGGCGGAAGAAGAGAAGAAGAAATAAGAGTAGAGAGAAGGCGCTTGCAGAACGCCGAGAGAAGAGCGAAGAAGGATGGGAAGGGAGAAGGGAGAGCCACCTTCGGTATCTTCGTATGCGTTTCCTGGTAAGGCTCTTGGCGATCTTTAAAGTCCCCACTGAGGAATCAAGAGAGTTCATTGCTTTTGAAAAAGGAGAAAAGGCGGAAAAGACGACGGTGGAGAGAGCAAACTTCTTTCCCTATCCTTGGATACGGTTATATGAGGCGCGAGTTACAGTATCTAACATTGCTTTGAACAGTTTAAACTTTAAATGATCAAAAATAAAGAATTTTTATGAAATTTTATTTTCTATTTCAAATAGATTTCATTACGATAGCATTTCAATTAATGTCATAAAAATTCAAATGTATAATACTGTACATATACAATTGAAAAACTGGCAAAAGGAATCAATTTGTTGAATTTTTTAATTTGTAGATTTAATTGGAATTTAATTGTCTGTGTAATTTAATCGGAATATAATGGAACGTTATGCTGAAAGTTCTACGATGACTGGCTGAAAAAGAGAAGATCCGGTTGCGGAATTTATTTCAGCGACGGTCGCGCAATTATGAGCGAAGTACAAAGGGAGGGTCTCTCGGCGCGGAGAAACAGCTTATTTAATTACGTGCAAGTAGTATAAACATAGAATCGAAGTGGCGCGGCCGACGATATTTTGACCGAAATACGACCGTCGCGGTGCAACGTAGCGCCGTGCATTCGCCAGGGTGTTCGCATGAGGGACTTGAATAAAGTGCCTTCGTCGCGTCGCGTCGGTGTATGAAGCGAGCGTGAATACGGCCCTTTAAATATCGGTCCAGCATATCCTGGCCCCCTCGATTCGGCCGAAGGCATCTCCGGCTGAGGCGCAACCAGTTTTCGGCCACTTGGCTCTGCATGCGCGAACAAACCCGGGCAAAACGACGATGCATTAAATCGTATGTTAAGCCGTAATTGCGTCCTCGCCGTGGGCGTACCGATGGACCTTCGAATCACCTTCCATTTTTCTTCTTCATTTTTTTCGTGTATATACCTTTGTACCTTTCAGCTACATTTTACATTGATCCGTTTTCGAACTGAGGAAAGATAAAATCTCGGATTTCTCAGAGTCGAAAATATGAAGAAAAATACAGAGGCGCGTTAATGTCTTGGAAATTCGAGATTTTCAGAAAATTTGCAGGATTCTCAAGTTTCAAATATTCCCCGACAACGAGAAATTGTTTCTGAAATTCAAACATGTTCCATAATTTTTCATTTTTCCAAACTTTCGTATAAAGGGTTGTATATAAAACATAATCATCAGGAATCGTTTCGTTCCAATGACCGCGACTTCTTTTTCGCCCTCGATGGAGGCGCGTGCGTGCGTGCGTGCGTGCGTGCACGCACCTCTCGGCGCATCCTCACCTTCGACGGGATAGGTAATGCTTCGTTCTCGCTGATGTCGTGGCGGTTAACTACCACGTTTCAAGGACATCTACTCCCCTTCTTCCCCACGTTTGTTCCCTACACAAATCTGCACCGGGTAACTTCGGATTTCGCTTCGAACTGGCGTACGCCTCCTTTTTTCCTCCCCTCTTCTCGAATTTTTTTCCGCGTTGAATGCCGTGCTAATTGCGGGATTCTTTGGTTCACATAAGAAAGAGTCCGACTTTGGCGATGTCATAAAAAGTCGAAGCTACGCACTTGACCGTGGGCGACGAAGATTTGATTGCGCGCGATTAAAAATACTGTTTATATGCCAGGTTTCGGCGGTTTCGCCTCTCGTGAGCGTATCCTTTAAGCTGACGATCGTTACAAGTCGATCGTCAAAATG